ATAATATTAAAAGACAAAACTAATATTTTAAAAAAATTATATATTAAAAAATTTATATCATCATGACACTTTTATGGGGTTTGCCATTACCATGACCCAGCCTCCTTGACATTTATATTTTGGGCTGCCCAACATTCTCCCTTTAAAATTTGGTAGGGAAAATAGTACCATTGTCTACTACAAATACATGATGACCGAAGCTTAGTTGTGGTTGTGGGGACATGTGCGCTCAAAGAGTGACTTTACCCTGCCTTCCTAGCTGCGAGCCCTTTTTATCTTCCACCGACATATATTGACAAAACCATTTCACTTTCCTCCTTCTTTCTTCTTTTTTTTTTTTTTTTTTACAATTTGTAATTATTTATATGGTTAATTGAGGAAGAGAAAAAGAGATTTCGTGGAGTTCGAACGTGCAATCTATTGGAAGTGAATAGCACTAACCCAAAATCTAATGTCACTGGCCCGTTCAACCATTTCACTTTCCTTAACAATAAAATATTAGTGTAATTAATATTACCCAATTAACTAGATCTAGTAATTCTGTAATTGGACCACCTTACTAGTACTAGTAATTGTGGTTTTTAACCAAGAATTATTGTAATTTTTTAAAGTATATTAATTAGTATTGGGAAAATTAAAAATTAATTTTTATTTAAATAATTATTTAATTAAAATAATTATAATACTACTAATAAAATTAATGATAATTTTTACATTTTTATTATATTTTTTAGTATTAATTAATATTAAAAAAATATAATAATTGAACCATTAATATATACTTTAAGAATAATTTTTTTTATCTTAGTTGTACGATGGGAGGCAATCATCTTTCATCCTTTATCCCATCCCACTCGTATGTCATGCGATTCAAATTTAAAACCTTTTATTTTCACTAAAAAAAATAACTATTAAATTATTTATGTCGTTGGATTAAGAATAAATGTTAAAACAACCCTTAAAGAAATTCATTACTACTTTATTTATTCATTTTTAATAAATTTAGTCTAATTTTTTAACTTTTAAAATATAAATTTTAAATAAAAATTCAATGATTTATACCAATAACAATTAAAATTTTTTATCTTTATATATAATTCTTGTTAAATATTTTTATTTAATAAAAAATTTTAATTATTATTCATGTAAATTATTAAATTATTAAAAATAAAAATTTTTCTTTTACTTGTAATGGTACTAAGTTATTACAAAGGTATGTCTGTCCATTATTAAAGAGATTAATACTTAAATGCGCGCAAATTTATTCAAAAGCATCTAAGTGACTAAATCGTCAAAAACCTATAAAAAAGGGTACTAAAGGGATAGATAGAACAACCCAGAAAAGAAAAAGAAAAAGACCCACAAAAGTAAAGTGAAAGTGAAGCTAAGACTACTGTAGTTATTTGGACGTGTTGGCCCACCACCAAAATTTGTTTGTCAGTTTAGTCACGGACACCGCATCAAAATCTTATACGGCTGCTATTATGATCTTGTCTATCGCTAGGATTTTGTTTTGTGCTCGCATCACAATGAACATTCTCAAATATGGTGACTCTTATATGGACATTGTTATTCAAAGACGATTATATACACTAAGAAAGAGAGCCCGAAAAATCAAATATCTTGATGTTAAATACGTTTATTATAATCATTTTTTGAGTGAGTTTCAAGAATAAAATTCACTCATAAATAAATGTAAATGTAATGTACGTATTGAATATCAAAATGTTTTGATTTTTATATATTTACACTAAGAATATGCTAAAATATTATGATTTGTTATTTTTATTTATTATTGTTAGAGAATTTTAATTTATAATTTAAATTATATTAAATTATAAAACAAAAATTATTAAATATAAAAAAAATTTAATATCGAGAACTTAACATATATTTAATAATTACTATTGTATTATTTAATACAATATGTATTATATAATATTTTTTTCTCTATTATTAAGCATGAGTAACGTTACTTCTCTTTAATATGATTCTTGGTGTTGTTTCAACTTTCAAACAAGAAAGATTCAGATAAGTACATTAGAAAATGATTAGATTATTTTGGTGTCACAAAAATTTGGTCCAAAAGAACACTATGCATCCATGTTTTGATTAGAAGATCGAGAAAATCGTTGCTTCTCTTAAGACCTAGATGAATAAATGGGAGCAAATCTTTTTTCAACCGAGCTAATATAATCTCTCCGTATTAGTTTTAGGTTGTTTGTTTAAAATTTCAATTAGGTATGTTTAAAAGAGATAATGTCTATTTACCTTACTT